GGGCGGGGCCGGGGCCCCGTGGAGTGTCCTCTTTTTGGACACTCAAAATATGGTAACCCTAGTATTATTCCCATTTTACAGAGGGGAGAGAATGAGAAACAGAAATTTAAGTGACTTTCCAAGGCCACAATTAGAGAGGCAGCATTTCTGTCATGTGTTACCACTTCTAATTGGTAACAAGGCCAAAAAAAACCCTGAGGTTTATTACCTGGTGGATCTGTTCCTGTCATTTTATTCTTAATGAAGTAATCCATGTCTGATTCTACGTTGCAGTTCTCCAAGCTCACTCGAACCTCTTCATACATCTGCAAAACAGAAAAGAAGAATTTTAAGTTTCAGCTTTTAGTGATGAGCTCTTAACACAGAATCCTCTGCTAGTATTTCTCTCCATCTTAAAGGGACACTGTCCACTTTAATCATGGTGTGTCTGTGTGTATATAAACATATTTCTCTATTTCTGCTGTGGACATCTTAGAATATGAGGAAGAAGGGAGACCAGCTTTAAAAGCTTATAAACCCTGGTTCTAAAGGGTTCTTTTAATCCACTGGAAAGAGGCATCACAAGAACCAATGATTGGAAGTTAAAGCCAGACAAACTAAAACTAGAAAGAAGATAAACGTTTTTAACAGTGAGAATGATTAGAACAAGGGAAGTGGTGGAATCTCCATCTTGAAGTCTTCAAATCAAGGCTGGTTGCCTTTTGAGAAGGAAGGCTTGAGCTCAGTAACTTGTGCTGACTAAATACAGGGGTAACTAGGCCTGTGTTAGAAAGGGGTCAGACTAGATGATCACACGGTCCCTTCTGGCCTTTAAATCTATTAATCAGTTTCAGCAATTTGTTATTTCCAAATGTATCTCTGAACATTTTCTTGGGCCCCGTGCTAGAAGACCCAGGTCCCGACCCTGTTCAAAGAACCAGGTCTCCCCCACTGAAGTCAGTAGAGCTCTGCATTTGTGCAGAGATGTGAAGGATTACACCCAGATGAGTGGAGGAGCGGGGGCAGAAAAGATGATTTATTTTCCCACACACATACACTCTTAAGAAAACTGTATAATGCAAAAAAATTCCAGGGGACATGCCCGAAATTTCTCATCCAAAGAACTCATGGGAGCAGGGGGAAAGGGGAGATAGTAGTTTGATGGTTCACACACGTAAAGATTTTCACTATTAAAATGGAAGTAGTCATTTTTTCCCTGTATAAAAGGAATAACAATAAAAAAATCCTTTATTTAAAGCTGACTTGGAGGTTTGAGATTCTACCCCATAGCTTGGGGAGAGGGGACAGAAGCTTGGTGGCACCAAGTTTGCTATAGAATCTCTGAGTCTGTGCCAGCCTAAATATTCATTTTTAATTCAGTGGGGAGGGCAAACCTGGTTCGTGGTTTCTTGCCCTGGCCAAGTGTGGTAAGATGGACATCACCATTGCTGGAGGCATTTGATGTGTGGACAGGGGTGAGCCAGTATGGTGGCTTTAGAGGACACATTTTTCTCCATGCACAAGGACTGGGATTTCTTGGGGGGGAAAGCCTGTACCTCATCATCCTTCACACACTGCATGGACAGCTGGTTACAGTGAACCCAAAGGGAGTTCCGGAGGATGGTGATACGATCACATTCCTGGAGCTGAAATGCCTAAATCCAAAAGAAGAGATGTCAAGCATCATGGTTATTATTATTTATTATGTGTAATGTGGTAGCACCTAGAAGCCCAAGTCATGCATCAGGATCCCACTGTGCAATGTTTGTACACCTGCAAACCTTTCTGAAACACACTACAGTCAGGATGCACTATGAACTGTAGAAAATAATCTTAAAAATAAATCCACTTTTACATTTAGTCACTCAAATTGCAAACAGCGGATGAGGGGTTTTTATCTGACTTCTCTAAATTCACTCTGAGTATCTTTCCCAGACCTGAAGACGAGCTCTGTGTAAGCTCAGAAGGTTGTCCCTTTCACCAACAGAAGTTAGTCCAATACAAAATATTATCTCACCTTTCACTAAGTTAAGGTATTGTTACCCCTTTTGACCCAAGCGGCTAGCCAAATATTCAGGGTCTTATAGGTTGCAAGTTGGAAAGAAGAAATTGATGGTGGCATTAGATACCTTTTCATGCAGTTTATTTACAAATAATGTACAAAGTCCTGTTTCCCTGAACATAAGAGGAACGAAACAGGAGATAATATCCTTGCTCCAAACCTCTTTTATCCAGCACCCAGCCCCAAAGACCCCTCTCTAGTCTGTTCCAGGACCATACATACTGTGCTTGATTAGGCTGTGCTTGGCTTTCTGCTCCTTCTCTGGGCTGACCAATACTACACAGGCTTTGCTGGCATAGCTATGCCGGCAGAGCTCCCTAGTGGAGATGCAGCATAAACCATCAGAAGAAGTTCTGGTGATATATGAACACCGCCTCCCCGAATGATACTAGCTACGCAGATAGAAGCACTCTTTGTCGTCCTAGTTGAGTGTACCCGTGGGTTCCAGCTGCATAGCTATACCAGCAAAACTCTGTAGTGCAGACTATAGCCATGTCCAGGGGCGGTTCTATGGTTTTTGCCGCCCCAAGCACAGCAGTCAGGCAGCTTTCAGCGGCACGCCTGGTGGGCGGTTCGCTGGTCACGCAGATTCGGCGGCATGCCTGTGGGAGGTCCGCCGGTGCCGCGCCTTCAGCGTCCCTGCCGCCGAAAGCACGAGACCAGCGGACCTCCCGCAGGCATGCCGCTGAATGCAGCCTGACTGCCACCCTCATGGCGACCAGCAGGCTGACCCCCGCAGCTTGCCACCCCAGGCACACGCTTGCTGCGCTGGTGCCTGGAGCTGCCCCTGGCCATGTCTACGTTGTGACGGGTTGGATCACAGAAACCCCCTTGGGAGCTGCCACCCGATGTGCCAAGACTACCCCTGCTTCTGTTTTCCCTGCCAGCTTAGGGCTCCAGCACCCTGTCTTGCTGAGCCAGCCACTCCTGTCTGGCTCCAACACAGACTCAGGGTCTGAATCACTTGTCCCAAAACTGCAAGTTTACCCAAAAACAGCTCACAGGAGTGTGCTTGTCTTTAGCACTCAGATGCCCAACTCCCAATGGGGTCTAAACCCAGATAAATCCGTTTTACCCTGCATAAAGCTTATGCAGGGCAAACTCATAAATTGTTCGCCCTCTATAACACAGATAGAGAGATATGCACAGTTGTTTGCTCCCCCAGGTATTAATACATACTCTGAGTAAATTACTAAATAAAAAGTGATTTTATTAAATACAGACAGTAGGATTTAAGTGGTTCAAAGTAGTAACAGACAGAACAAAGTAAGTCACAAGCAAAATAAAATAAAATGCGCAAATCTATGCCTAATCAAACTAAATACAGATAATCTCACCCTCAGAGATGCTTCAGTAAGTTTTTCTCAGACTGGACACCTTCCAGGCCTGGGCACAATTCTTTCCCCTGGTACAGCTTTTGTTCCAGCTTAGGTGTTATCTAGGGGCTTCTCCATGATGGCTCCTCTCCCTCCCTCTTCTGTTCCACCCCTTTATATATCTTTTGCATAAGGCGGGAACCCTTTGTCTCTCTGGGTTTCCACCCCCCCCCTCACTGGAAAAGCACCAGGTTAAAGATGGATTCCAGTTCAGGTGACATGATCACATGTCACTGCAAGACTTCATTACTCACTTGCCAGCACACACATATACAGGGAGACTCACAGGTAAACAGCCATCTGCAGACAATGGGAGTCATTAAGATTCCAAACCATCATTAATGGCCCACACTTTACATAATTACAATAGGCCCTCAGAGTTACATTTTATATTTCTAGTTTTAGATACCAGAGTGGTACATTTATACAAATCAGATGATCATACTCAGTAGATTATGCACTTTGTAATGATACCTTACAAGAGACCTTTTGCACGAAGCATATCCCAGTTGCATTATATTCACTTATTTTTTTATAAAACCATGTAGACTGCACAACGTCACATACGTTACCAACTAAATCAACATCACTGTGATCAATGCAGTGGTGTCGATTTAGTGGGTCTGGTAAAGACACGCTAAGTCAGTGGGAGAGCACTCTCCAGTTGACATCTGTACTCCACCTCCCCGAGAGGCAGAAGCTATGATGATGGGAGAGCATCTCCTGCCAACATAGCGCCATGTAGACACCCCTGTAAGTTGCTCTAAGTTCTGTTGACTTCAGTTACGTAACAGATTGACTTACAGCATTAGTGTAAACTAGCCCTAAGCCTCTATGGTTGTTTCTGTGCTGTCTTGCATGTGTCTCTCACATGTACCCCTTACCCAAAACAATACCCAGCAAACCTCCCCACCCATATAGCTCAAATTCCTGAGTGGCCTTTGTGGCATTACACCACATATTCTTCATTGTAATATTATGATGATATGTGTATGGCATAATTATGATGTATTTTGTGCAAGATGGATCATGTGAGATCATTGAAAAGGTCATGATGTACTGAATATGATCATCCTATTTGTATGCATGTATCATTTTTGTATCTGAAGTTAGGAATATTGTCTATGCATCTATTACAAATGTGTTTACACTTGGGGAATGCCCACTAGACAGAATGTAATCAGTCTAGATGGCTAGCTGGGAAGGGCCATTAAGGAGAACAGTAGGTCTTAGAAGATGCTAATCCCCCACCAGGGAGCCTTACTGGGGATACTGAAAACAGCCTCTGAGTCATGGCTGCGGTGGCCCTACAGAGACATGTGACCAAGTCACCTGGTACTGGACTCCATCATAATGCCAGTGTTTTTCCACTGGCTGGGGGTGGAAATCAAACTGGGAGACAAAAGGTTCCCATCATATGCTAAAACTAGTTAAGGCAGGGAGTGACATCATTGTGGTTCATTCTTCACTGACTCCCCACCCAAGAAGAAGGCTGCTGGAAACACCTGAGAAACAAAGACTGAGTTGGGGGAGAAGGGCTGAACCCAGGCTAGAGCCTGTGAAAGGAATAACTGGAGTTTTAAGCTGCAAGCAAGTGGAGCTTGCCTTCAAGAATCTCTACAATCTGCCTAAAACAACATTTAGGGTGAGAATTTGCTACACATATACAATTTCTTTGGTATATTAAGCTTAGTTTGTGTGTGTTTTATTTGCTTTAATCTGCTTTGATCTGTTTGCTTTCCCTTATAATCACTTAAAGTCTATCTTTTTGTAGTTAACAAACTTGGAGTTTTTTTTGTCTAAAACCAGTGTGTGTGGAAATCATAACTTGGGGCAGAAAGCTGTGTCTATTCCTCTCCACATTGAGGGAGGGGGTGAATTTCATGAGATAGCACTGCACAGAATTCTGTGCAGCACAAGATGATATGATTTTGGGTTTACCCTCGAGAGGAGGGGGTGTGCACTTCAGTACCTGTCAGTTCCTCAGCTGAGCCTTCCCATGCAGAGCTGATCTCAGCATCTGTGTGAAGCTGCAGCTGGATGTGTCCCTACCTGTATGTGTGCTGGTAAAGTGCATTCTAAAGCCTGAGGGAGGGCTTGACAGGTATGCACAGCAATACAGCATAAAGGGAACCCAGGCGAGCTCAGTGGTACCCCAGTTCCAGGGGGCACCCTGGGGGGGGGGGGGGGGGGACCCATCACAGCCTTAGGTGTGCCTTTGGTTTGGATGGTGTCACGTGCCTATATTTTGATTTGGAGACTGCTGTTATTTCACAAAGGAGCTTAACTGTTCCTGCTATCTTAATGAAGGGTCGTGGGTTACACTCAAAGCTTCAAGAAAGTTTAACCCAACCTTTAACAACATTTCCCTGACAAAAAATAAAGGGGGAAGGAGGAGAAGGGGACGGCACTGTGATTTGAATAGCAAATGATCCCAAGGATTTAGAACCCAGAATCCTGTTGTAACAAGATGAGGGGACAAGCTTTTTGGATTTATAATACAGGTAATTCCCTAATGGAAAGCTTTGGGAAAATACTGGTATGTCGAAACTGTTGGACTATTTGCGTAGCAGAACAGAGTTTTTGTTTCTTCTGAGTTCACTTGCTCCTTTCTTCCTCTGCTTGAAGTCATAATACTTTAGCAGAGCTATGGGGGGGAGAGGGGGGCTGCAGCTTTCAGTGTGAATTCAAGAGGAGAAACTATTTTTACAGCAAAGTCAGAAATAAAATTGATCTCTAAGTTGAACTGTTCTTCTAAACAGAATGTGCTTATTTATTTTCCATAAGGTGTGGAAAGCTCAAACTCTTCTAGCCATCTGCTCCCTTCTTTTGTTACGATGCGCATCCATACCACCAAAAAACTAAGTACATATAACGTTTTACAAAATATTGAGTAAGATACATTCCCTGTCCCCTAAAGATCTCATTGTGTAAGAAATAAGGCATGGCACAACTGAGGGAGGGTGTGGAGAAACCAGCTGGTGAAAAGAAAAGGGTAGGAAGCGTTTCTGGGAGAAGTAGCTTTTAAGAAGAAATTGAAAGAATGAGAGAAAGTATTTCATTTGGGGCAGCAACTGGGCAAAGTACTTAAGCATATGGCTAAAGTTAAGCACTACAGGGACTTCTGAACACGAAGCCATTTGCAGTGCATAACAACTATTCTATTGCTCACAAGTGCATCAGTTCATTAAAACAGACACTATTATTTTGATGTAGATGGTGAACTTAACATGCCAACTACATATGCACATGTCCAAATACTGGTTTTTATATACATCTTTCATAAGTTGCTAGCTTAGAACCCCTTTAGAAATTTAGTAGTCCTGGATTTAGCCACAAACACATAGAGAAGGGACTCAATAACTCCATTTGCTGAAGAGTGATAAATCTGTACTAATTGCAGCGGGCAGACTCTGGCCAGGTTCTGAAGAGCACTCCCAGTCTGGGATATGTATAGCAGTGATGGAAAGGGGGGAGGGGAGGAAATCTGAATCTTAGAGGAAACTTCAGATTTTTTGACACCATTTCTGTAGAATGATTGCCATGCCAGCTATGGGACAATTCTAGAAAGTGAAAGCTACAGGGAGGCAGGGCTAATGTAAAAATACCCAGCAAGCATACAGAAGCGGACCACAAAGAGATTCTCTGTGGGCTAAGAGTTGGAAGCTCCTGTACTTAAACTGGTGTTCAGGCACTTTTAAATTATGTGCTTCTAATCAGTCACTTGGGAAACAGGTTTAATTTGGCTTTGATTTAAATAAGGCAGCCCTAAAACTAGCAGGATCTTATATTCCACCCTGGGTTAGATCCTCAGCTGGTGGAAATGGGCAGCGTACTGCTGTAACTATGCCAATTTAAACCAGCTGAGGATCTGGCAACCTAAATTTAATGGGCAAGCAAGAAAAGCATAAGCAAGTCAGAAAGCTAACAGCTATACTTTAAATCCATCGTAGTGTCAAGTGTACTCTTGCAGCAGTCATCTCTAGCTAATCACAGACCATCAACAGTATGTATCAGATCCCTCAGTGGTAACACTGCATCTGGGACTGAGATCCGTGAGTGAGTAAAATAAAAAAATGCACAAACAAATGGTTCCAAAGGTCAAAATATTTACCTCACAGGTGCTGATATGTTCCTTCTCCCACTCCATTCTGGCCTTATCCAGCTGTTCTATATACTGCTTGTACGCCCTTTCTGTAAATAGAGAGATGAAACGGAAACTTCCCGACTGAGATAAAATAATACAGGGCCCCACATATCCTCCTGTTAGGTATGGTGTGACTTTACTTTGGTAAAACATAGCCCTAACCTATATCCTACAGAATATAGTACAATAGAACCTGATTAAGTGGAAAGATGCCTGGGTTAGCTCATGGTATTTTTACTGGAGAGAATGATCTCTCTGACTTGCCCACAGGTATGCCACAAACATCTCAACTGGACAATGTGTATGTTGATAGCAGCCATGGGTTCTTAGGCCTGAGTGATATTGTAGGATTGCATTGTCCTAAGTCAGGGGTCCCCAACGCGGTGCCCGCGAGCGCCATGGCGCCTGCCGGGGCGTCTAAGTGTGCCTGCGTACTGGCTGGCGGACAAGCATCCGCCAAAATGCCGCCGATGCTGCTTGTCGGCGGCATTTTAGCGGATGCTCGTCCGCCGCCACGGTCCTCCGTGGCTCGTTGTCTGGCACCCGCCAGACGAAAAAGGTTGAGGACCACTGTCCTAAGTGAACGAGGTGCCCAAAAAGGACACAGAAGGACCCACCCAACTGGCAGAGGGAATTTCTTGAGGGCTCGGGATTGCAATGCTCCATTTCACAGTCCCAGAGCATATGCGAGTTTCCTGTGTGTATACATGGCGGCTAGGACTCAGTCATACCTCCCAGCCTGAGGAGACAAACACGTGAAAGCTCTGCTTGATTTAGCATGCTAAAAATCACACTGTGGCCAAGGTGCAACAGGCAGCTGCTCAGGCTAGCTGCCCAAGTACAATCCCACCCGACCCCTTGGTATGTACTTCAGCAGCTAGCCCGAGCCGCCACCCGTGCCACTTCGGCTACACTGCTATTTGTAGGCTGAGCTAGTGCACATCCACCTCCTGAACTGGGAATTACACCTCCCTGCTGCAGTGTAGATGTACCCTCCCTGAGTTTGGGCTCATAGCCGGGTCCAGAGAACATAGCCATACTAGCTTGCCCATGTGTAAGCATGCACATCTACGTCTTCCTTGCCCTGGGTTAGGGTGGCTGAGGACTCAAACAATGTTAAAGAACAAACGGAAAAGAAACCCCATTATTAAAGTGTTTTAAATAAACTGTAGAATACATAAAGGGCATCTCCTAAGTATATGCAGCATCATATTTATCTTCCTTTAGTGGAATGTAAACTTGGGGGTCTAAAGTAGCTGACAATTGCCTTTAACTGCACTTTCATTAGTTTAGGAGTCTTTAGGAATCTGCACTTTTATATGTGGGTTTTTTTTGTTCCCCCCCTTCATAGCATGCCGTTAAATCAGCTGGGTGTTAGACTTTATGTAGAATGGTACCTGCTTCATTTGCTGTGTCTTTGCATTGCTTGGCTTTGTTCTGACTCTGAAATATAAAAAGAAAACATTGAAATTAAGCCCTTTCCATTTTCATATTTTTTTCCTCAGGTCACAAAATCCCCCTGGTAAAATATTAAGTGTCTGTCCCTGCAAAGAATTGCTACCTAGTTTATTGCTACAAATCATCCCATTGACTTTGCATTATTCAAAGTAGGGGCCAGATCCGCAGCTGCTGTAAATAGTCATTGCTCCATTGACTTCAATATAGCTATGATAGTTTGACCAAGGGGAGGTCCTGGTCCTAGGTACTGCACTTGCAAAGACTCTACTTTCTTATTTTGTTTTAAAAAAACAGTGTTTGCAGAATCTGGCCCCATGTTTGTTCCCACTGATAGATAACTTTTATAGAACGTTCAAAATACTGTTGTGTAACGGAAGTTTATAAATGGCAATTGAAATTCCTCATCTCCTCGGGTACCATTCAGAGATAAGTAACCAGACTTTTTAAAGGAACACTGTCAAACTTTTACACTATGTTGTGAACGGTAACGTTTCCTGGCTGTTTCCAATAACACATTCATGATTTCAAGGCCAGAAGGGCCCGCTGTGATCATCTAGTCTAACTTCCTGTATAACACAGGCCAAGAACTTCCCCCACCCAAACTGTCCTAAACTGTTTGCTGTTGCTCTGCAGAGTTAAACAGCTGATGTGTTCCACCCGTGTGTGTGTGTGTGTGTGTGTGTGTGTGTGTGTGTGTGTGTGTGTAAGTAAAAGTAGCCACCCTAGAACTGTTCTGGGTGAAATCCTAACCCCATTCAAGTCAATGGGAGTTTTGTCATTGACTTGAATGGGGCCAGGATTTCACCCACTATAAATAAAATCTAACTTGTTACTTGTGGAAGATTTTTGGAACACTGTGGGTATAAAATGCATATTTCCAATGCCATTTTTAGATTGCTCCTCCCCTCTCCCCTGCAAAAAAAGATGAGTTTGGATCTCTGCTTACGCTGCTCTGAATGTATGGAGAAAAAGAGAGTTAGTTTATTTTTTTTTCTCCATCTGCTTCATTGTAAAATGTTCTCATGAAAGGTTAGTAGGTTGTCAGCTAAACATGTAAAGATGATGCAATGAGGGATTGAAATGCCTTGTTTTCAATGATTTATTTTCAAGTTTGTAAATTCCGATGAAACTAAACTATCTACTAGGAGACAGTTTGATAAAGAAAGGGCATTTAATGTAAGGTACTGTACCTACTTTGGTTAACATGGGATCCAAAGGTGGAAACAGCAGATTAATATGTTTCAGACTTTTCCTTTCATTTTTATGAATAATTTGATTCAGGAGGAAACTGAAGTTGCATTCTAATGATAGGCCATACCAATTGTCTCCCTAAAGCTCTCAGCCTACCATGCTTTTTAAAAACACAGGCAACTATGAACTTGTTCCAATTCTATTGATTGCTCAAAAGGCACAGCCTATCTGTGGAGGAAAATTTTCCTAGTGAATTTTACAATGTTTATTAGAACAGAGAGCAGCCTCTGAAATGTGCAAGCTCTGATGCAAAGTGGATTGTCTACGAAAACTACAGAGCTGTCTGCTACCATTGCTTAAATAGCACAGTGGTCTCAGATACCTTTTCTGTTTGCTTTTGGTTGCCTGAAGCACTTATCCTCTCGAAGGCCTGCTCAGCCTCGTCTGCATCCTTGCACTTCTGCTCGTAGGTCTTCTTTGACTGCATTAAAATAAATTCAAAAGAATGTTTTCTTTTTGGGCTAGATAACCCTCTCCACCCTGACACGGTCTCTTCTGCAGGCAAGGGGAACAAATCAGGCATTAGGTTGGAACAATTTACATTTTAAAAACTTTTAAACATTAATTTAAATTTTTAAATTGAAAGGGGCACAATATTAAATTGATATAAGAATGGCCATACTGGGTCAGACCAAAGGTCCAGGTGTCCCAGAGGGAATGAACAGAACAAGTAATCATCAAGCGATCCATTCCCTGTCACTTATTCCCAGCTTCTGGCAAACAGAGGCTAGGGACACCATCCCTGCCCATCCTGGCTAATAGCCATTGATGGACCTATCCTCCATGAATTTATCTAGTTCTTTTTTTGAACCTTGTTATAGTCTTGGCCTTCACAACATCATCTGGCAAAGAGTTCCACAGACTGACTGTGTGCTGTGTTAAGAAATACTTCCTTTTGTTTGTTTTAAACCTGCTGCCTATTAATTTCATTTGGTGACCCCTAGTTCTTGTGTTATGAGAAGGAGTAAATAACATTTCCTTATCTACTTACTCCACACCAGTCATGATTTTATAGACCTCAGTCATATCCCCCCTTAGGAGTCTCTTGTCCAAGCTAAAAAGTCCCAGTCTTATTAATCTCTCCTCATACGGAAGCCATTCCATACCCCTAATCATTTTTGTTGCCCACCTAATCACAGATGGACATAAAAGAGAGAAGAAAAAGCAATCTGGATGCTGACATATCAAATGAGCAGCACACCAAGCAACCCGCTCCAACATCCCCATATGTGGTACTGACACTAGTCACTGTAATTATTTATTTTATGACAGGATGCCTAGATGCCCTATTGAGCAGGGCACTGTACAGCCACACAGCTCTTCAGGGCAGGAACTGTTTCTCATTAAATGTCTAAATACTAGAGCTGGATGGGAACTGGATTTTCCATTTCTTGGGAAATTCTGCAATTTTGGGGGGGGGAAATGGAACAAAACAAAAAAAATTGAAATTTCGTGCAAAACAATAGTCAGAGGGAGGGAGAATATTGTTTTGGGTTGATAGAAATGTTTCTTTTTGATCAAAAGGAAATGCTTAAAAAAAGGCATTTTGATAAGGTCAAAGTTTCATTTAAACTATAAAGCTTCATTTTCAAAGAATCAGCATTTTCCAACAGAAAAACGTTCCATCGGAAAACTTCCAACCAGCTCTACTGAACGCACAAGACAGACGAAGGGTAGGAGGGGAAATGACTTGCCCAAAGTACACACCAGGTGAGTGTCAGAACCAGAAGCCAGGTCTCCTGAGTCCCAGTGACCAGTGCCCTATCCAGTAGACCACACTGCCTCCCATGCATCCCACAGGGTTAACTATGACCAGCTTAACACATTTTTAAATATGACTTGCCCTGTCCACACTAGGTGCAAAGTCCTGTTTAAAATGGTTGGTGGTTATTTGCATTGCAGTAGCATCTAGGTGCCCTACTCACAGACCAGGACTCCATTGTGCTGTACAAACACAAAACAAAAAGGCAGTTCTTCCTCCTGCCCCCCAGGAGCTTACAATTTAGGTAACAAGAAACACCAGGTGGGTATAACAAATGTGGGGAAGCCTAACAAAACAATACTAATCAGCATGGTAGGCAGTGGCCTCAAAACACGAGCTGCCTATCTGTCATCAAGTTTTTTGTGGCATCGAGGAAACGGAGAGTTGTAAGAAGGGATTTGAAAGAGAATAAGGAGTTAATTTTATGGATTTGACAAGGAGCACCTCCCATGGATAGAGGCAGCATGGGAGAAAGCACAAAGGTGCCTGGTTTGAAAACTGAACGAGTGGGTGATGGTAGCTGGCATCATTATCAGAGTGGAGGTTAAAACATGACCATTTTCCTAGTTCTAGACATGGCACTACTTAATCAACAGAGCTGCTCTCCATGTTTATCCAGCGTTATAGATGCCAACCTCAGTCCAAAATAGGTTTTCCCTGCTTTTCACTCTAGTTAGCCCTCCAAAGTTAACAACTCCAGTAGAGGGCACTAAATTCCATTGTTGCTCATGCATCATCATCGTTGCCATCTAGTTCAACAGCTGAGCCAAATTCTCTCATCGTTTATACCACTGGAGTTGCACAAGTGATCCTCAGGTCGCACTTGGCCTGTAGAATCTTCATTGATGGTGATGATGCATGAGACTGTAGGAATTCACTTGACTTTCAGATCCCCAGGCTGAGTAGGCCAGGCTGAATGGCAGAAAAAAAAATCTTAGCCTGTAAACTTGTTGAAAACAGAAATAACGCTGGCAGTAACTCAAAGTTAACCCTCAAGGTGCTGTAAGTGACCTTTAACTAGGCGTGGCAGGGAAAACATGCTTCCATGTCTTAACCTCATGGCTTGGAAACACATACTCTTTACTTTATTTCATCATGTTCTTGACATTCCTTTAAGATATTGTCTGCAATGAAAATTTCACCCTCCCACCCTAATTTTTCTCCATGTGCAACTGGATGAATGTATTATTAAACCACATAACTTACCTCCATTGTTTTCTTATAAAGGGACACCTTGCTCTTTTGCGCACGTTCCATTGCAATCTCGTACTGTAAGAAACACACAGGACTAAACATTTCTCCTTTTAGTGCAGGATTAGAAGAGCAATTGTTGCACCATTTCTAAGAACCATGTTCCTGTGCAGAAAATGCCTTGATGTTGCTTTTGTAACTCACGCCCTTCTAAATGACACAGTGCAAAGCTAGGAAAAATTAATCCAAGATCATTTTGCTTCAGTGGCTTCCATTAATAGCCAAGAGGATATGACTTCGTTTTCTCTCCTTATCTGAAGAAGCTTAAATTGCATAACACCCAGTCACACTGTACATAAGCTTTGCCAGCAGAGGTCTGCGTAACAGCACAAGCCCTGGGATAGGATCTTGTGCTGCTGCTGTGTTTGTGCAGGCAAACCAGTGCCCCACCTTGCTGAGTAAGGACTTCTATCCATTCCAAATGTGAGCAGATCCTGTGTGATTAATAACAGATCCCATTACTTCTGTCAAATGATTATATTCTACCTAATTTCCATGGGCATCAGCAGATTAGCTTGAAGGGCATTGGCCCCGCCTCTTCTTCAATTTGACATGGTTTGAAATACCCAGCTCCAAGCTTAAAAACAAGAGCCTTTCCTATTCGGCAGCCAGACATGACTCTCATCCCATGACATAGTCTTTTTAACAGAGCTTGATCTGAACACGGATGGCTTTGTTTCAGATTATGAAATTTCAATATATGTAATGCTTCTCTCTCAACAGCCTTGGCTGATCACCAGAGATCCTAGTTTTCCATGATTAAAACCCCCTCCAAATTCTCTGATTTAAAAAAAAAAACGGATTTCTAAGGTCCCTGCTGATTACTGCTGTAAGTGTTTAATCCCTTTTTTTAACTTTGGGTAAGAAGGTTACTTCTATAATATCCTGCCGGAGCACTAAAATATACTGCAGTTGAAGTAGTAGCAAAGAGTTTGAGCCTTGTGTTGAACTCAATGTCTAGATCATCTCATCCATGATGTCAGGGAAATGCTGGGAATCAGGGTTTCTTCCCTGGAGAATGTGGCGGGAGGAGGGGCATGGACGGCGGGTGTTGAAAGCTGGGGAAGGCTGAGCCTCCCCAAACAGCCTTGGGTGGCCCTGCCCATGCTCCGTCCCCAGGGCCCTTCCTGCTTCCTGGCACTGTGCTGTGGGGGGCTCTTTCCCCTGTGGCAGGGACTAATGGGGGCTGGCCTGTGCTCCAGGGCTGGGAGAGGCCACGTCGCCCGCCTGTCTGGCGCTCCAGGGCTGGGGGAGGGGTGATGACGGCCATGTGGGGGGACCCTCTGGGCTTCAGCAGGCCGGGTGGGGCCTCTGGCAGAAGGGGCAGGCCATGCAGGGGGGCTAGCCTCCCCGAGCCCAGGGTTCACCCGCCGCCCATGGGGAGGGGAGTCTAATTCTGCAGTCTTTAGACCTTATTCAAGCAAAACTTCCCCTGGTGCCAACAAAGGTGTTGCTTGAGTAAGGGCCAAATGGTGCAGTCCGGAATGCTGCTGTTGCAGAGCTAGCACAAAGACACACTGCTGTGTTTTGGGAGATCACCGGAAATGCTGGCACGGTTTGCTCTAGTGCTACTTTCTTGGCAGCCAGCCAGTGGGTGACAGAAAGAAAAACCTGCAACAGACATGGAGAATCCAGAAGAGGTCTTTGCCTTGCTCCCAGTAAAGGTTTCTCTTAAAGGCTTCAAATGCAGAACTATTTCAAAAAGATACAGCCCCCGTTTCCATGCAGCTCTCCAAGTATTAAATGGGGTGGTGGAGAAGATAAATACTGATTCAAATATGAAACAGACATGGAATTGTGTCTACATTGAATGTGCTTCATGAAGCAGCTGTGGAGCTTGAAAATCAGACAACAGCACTGTCAGAAACAGGATCATTTTTACCCACTCTGAAATTCTGGAGTGTTTCATTGGCTAAGTTCCCATCTGTGCTATAGAGATGATGAGGTTGGTGCACTTGGAACTACCTGGATTTGTCCTGTTTTGTTTTAAAGGGGCGTGGGATGTGGAAATTTTGCATGGCTGCCAAAAACCATCGTTGTTTTCAGTGGCAAGTAGCCAAGCCCTTTATTTATTTCCAGATAGAACCAGAGAGGGTGTAAAAAATTAACATTGTCACTCGCTTAGCAGATACCTTGTTCAAAGGATGCTGAATTTGGGAGGATCAAAGGGAACGAAAGCTGTCTTGAACATAGTTGGGTTCTTTTAATACAACACCTCTGGTGAATACTAGATTAATATCATTTATCTTGTGGATTTCTAACACACTCATCACCTTATTACTTAGGCTTCAAGTTCAACACAATGCACAAACTTTTGTTACTGCATCAATTTCAGTGTATTGCAATGTTCTTACAGGATTTTTACTGAAGCAACCTGCTTAGCAAGAGTTTTAAAAAGGGATTAAATACTTAGGGCATAGCTACACTTGCAGATGTAGAGCACTGAGAGTTAAACCCGCCTTCATAGAGCGCAGTAGGGAAAGCACTGCAGTCTGTCCACACTTACAGCTCCTTGCGCACTGGCGTGGCCACATTTGCGGCACTGGGAGCGGTGCATTATGGGCAGCTATCCCAGCATGCAAGTGACTGCAACGTGCTTTTCAAATGGGGTGGGGTGGAGTGTGACAGGGAGTGTGTTGTGTGTATGTGGGGGGAGAGAGAGTGGGGTTTTGGGGGGCTGAGAGCATGTCAGCATGCTGTCTTGTAAGTTCAGACAGCAGCAGACCCCCTATTCTCCCCCACACCTCTCTTTCACAGCATTCCACACTAATGGCTTGCATGCCGGCTGTCAGAAACGGAGCTTTGAAAGGGCATTTCCGCATTCCTACAGGAGTTCAAAACAATGACAAGAGTGGCCACTTGACTTAAGGGGATTATGGGACGTTTCTGGAGGCCGATCACAGTGCAGTAACCCAACCCCTCGTTCACACTGACGCCCGTGCGTTGTAGCCAAGGCACAGCAAATGTTATTCCTCTCGCCGAGGTGGAGTACCAGCAGCGCTGTAGCCGCGGAGTCAGAGCACTCTACGTGCCTTGCCAGTGTGGACGGGGAGTGAGCTAGGGCGCCCGGGGCTCCTTTATTGCATTGTAACTCGCAAGTGTGGCCAAGCCCTTACAGGAATAAGACTAGCATCTGCAGTTACATTAGCTAGAAAGTGAAAGTGACAAGGGCTTTCAGTCTTCATAGTTCAGAGCATTATCTCATCACCAGCTGTGATCACAGAGAGAGAGAGAGAGAGATTCACCCCAGTATCAAGTTAGCTAGGAGCCTGGGTGGAAAGGGGTGATTATCGTGCATTGAAACATCCATAGCACATTGCTGGAGACAACCTATCAGAATAAATGGGCCATTGGTCTGACAATTCTTATATTTCCTCACCTTTTTTCGTTGCTCCTTCTGTCTTTCTCTGAACTCCTCTATTCCTTTCAGTTCATCCTTCAGCATCAATGCCAGTTGGATATGAGAGTTTCCAACATTTTCAATTTCTAAGGCAGATGAGAATTTATAGACAGTCAATGAAAAGGCCTCTAATAAATACAAAGTCAGGTTTTTCAGCATGTATTTACTGGGAGGTGGCATGAATGTATTACTTACATGCACCTGGCAGTCTCAGAAACTTAAGGAGGGCTTTTTTTATTCAGATCGTTGTATTATCTCATCAATTAAAGGAGGATAGGACTCATCACAATCCCCTTGATGCCTGCAACATACATGGGGCCAGAACTGCTGCTGTTTGTGACACTTGCCAGGAGAATGTAAATAGAAATACTTTTAGCTGGCCCCCTTTCACTTCTTCATATTCCCACCACGCACCTCCAATCTTTCCCCTTTCTTTTTAAGGGCTCTCGCTCTTCCCCCTCCATGTCTCCCTATTGACCCCAGGTTTTTTATCCACATTGTGATCACCTTCCCACCCATCACACTGCTTGACATCAGTCTTTCTTGTCAGCCACTTCCCAATTACAGTCAGGCTTGTCCCAGCACTATCATCCAATTAGGGGGGCTGAAAATGGGCAGAGTTCAGTAGAGATGGAAATACCCTACTCTTGAAATAAAATTTTAAAATGTCTGGCCAAGATTTTCAAAAATACTTAGTGATTTTAGGGTGCCCAACTTTGAGATGTCTTGAAAAGGGCCTGTTTGTCAGAAAGTGGTGAGCACCCACCTCTCTGAAAATCAGGCCCCTTCAAACCAGGAGTGACCTTAAATCTCTAGCCACATTTGAAAATCTTGGCCTCTTTATCTAAACTGTAGGCAGTGTGTGCAACTGCACCGCCTCATTGTATACTAGGTAATTATACTATTATGTCTTCGGGGTGTAAAAACTTTAGCATTTAGCCCTTGGTGCACAAGAGAGTGCATATTCCGCTGTCTTGATGAGCCTGGGGCTTAGATGAGGGTTAGTTGTCTGTGCCTCAAACCAGGTAAGACTGAGGAAGTGATGGGGAAGCAGCCCAAAAAGTTGGCAAAAATTCCATTATTACCCCTAACTAGGGGAGTGCGGCCACAGTCTGTAGCACAGACAGACAATCTGAGTGTGTTAGACCCTGGAGTGTCTCTGTGTGTCCAGGTTGTGACCATGGCAAAGGGTGCTTTCTGCCGACTGTGCTGGTGAGATGGGTGTGCCTTTGCTTACTGTCATTCATCTGGGGGGATTTGAAGCACCTTACAACTGCCGGGGTGTATGACAGCCCCCATTTTACAGATGAGTGAACTGAGGTATAGAAAACTAAACATCCTGATTGCCGGAGATGCTGCCTTAAATAATTTGTCCAAGGTCACACAGCAAATTAGTCTGCTAGGGGTCACTCATTGGCCAGCTGGTCCTTTTTGATTATGTTTCAGCCATGTGTGGTCAACTCATTGGTGTGGGGTTGGGATCCTGTTTCCAAAAAGAGGAGGAAATCCCTTCCCTTATTAAGGGATTGGGCTGGGAGGGGAAGCATAGTTCACAGTGCAGAGACCTGAGGACCTAAACTGGAGATGATTTTAAGGCTCTTTGGTTTCTTAGGAATTCAGGAAGGAAGGGGGGTAGCAAAGGAACTGGGATGGCAGCTTGGCTGTTCCTCTGCTAGTGGATTATAGTGGGTACAGTGCAAGCTGTTGGGGAAAGGGCATTTGGACTAAATGTGGAGCTACTGAGGAGGATTGTGACCCCTGTGAATACTATCTCTGTATACTGTGGATTAGAGTAGTAAAGGGTGTAAATAATGGGCAGTAAAACACTTGGAATAGAAAATCCGTCTTCCTCAGTGATGGCTTGGCCCCAGGACAAATCAGCCATCAATGAAAGAACTCCAACAGGGATGGGAAGGCGGATATAAACTTACGTTGCTTTAGGACCTCGAATGCTGCCTTCAGAGTGCTGAGAAAACAAACAAACATACTTATTGGTATAATGTCCTAATGACAGACTGTGAATCAAAAAAAAAAAAAAATTACACTACCAGACCTTTACCCTCAAAGAAACACAAAAATAAATAAAACCTTTAATAGCCCTATCAAAAAAAATTGACCATGCAAATGGGCGAGAGATTACATTTATAGGTTATCATTAGGCCATGCAATCAAATGCTTCATGAAGCAGGGAATTAAAGACTTCTGAACTCCTGGTGCACTGGACTGTTTAACCCCTTAGTATTAGTTATTACACGTGTTAATATTAACTTGTCTGTACCAATGTCTTGGTGAGAACATGAATACAGGGAAATACAAATGACCAGTATAACTGATATTTGGAATAGTAGTCCAAAAGAGGAGATCTCTGAGGACAGAGATAGGTAAGACCTCTGTAGTCAGAGATCAGTGCTGTACTAGTATATCTTGTTTTTAACTCCTTAGTAATCCTCACAGCAGGAGCAATGCATTGGCTGTATAACATTACCTCCCTCCTGCACTTCTGTAGCACCCCCTTGTGGTACTGTCTCCAAATTCTTTAAAGAAACCAAATTAAGACCAATGGTTTTCAGAGCCATACACTCTAGGGGTCTGAAATCATGGACCATACAGTGGCTTTTCACAGTTGCACAGTGCAGTATGAATAAGCTCCGCCCTCATAAAACGGAGCCCTCAGCACCAGGCCATGAAATACAGGTGAGACTAGCAAGACAAAACATTACACTGGTCAATATGAGCAGTCAGGTGGAGCTGGGTCAAAGTAAGAGGTGGGGCCTTATAATGCTGTTTCACAGGGGGCTGGTAAAGGGCAGTAGTATATTGTCTCTTGTTGTCCTGGGTTGAGTAAATGATAATCAGTCAGGCAGATGAATAGGGAACAAGCTGCAAACGTTTTAATGAAGCAGCAGAAAGAACAGCAAAGAGGTAGAGAAGTAATTCAGAGAGAGTTGCCATAGGCATAGTGGGCACTCCCCACTTTACCATTCTGTTGCAGCATTGCTGCTCCAATTGCACACAGGTCTGAAGAGCCTGGTCACCAGTGGTTTTACTGGGGGCTGTATTGTGAATTTAGAAGGTAATCTTTCCAGGGCATGGACTGTGTGACCTTCCAAAGGTCTATACAGGGGCTTGATAAAGAGAGAGCCTGATATGGCCTGTGAGAGGGGAAGAAATATTCAGCCAAGCTTGTGAGTGGCACTTCTGAAATACTCAATGGCTAAAAGCATAAAGTTTTGCCACTGAGGGAGTGGGGAGGGATGTGTGGCCCTGCCAACCCCTGGGGGACAGAGATCTATGAGGAAATCATGTACATCCTGGGCTACCCTAGGAGGCCAGAGACACACATACTAGAGCTCACATTCTCTGTGGTGCTTTGGACGAGGTGCAGGCTCCTGATGGCAGCCTGGCTTCCAAAGAAGTGTTCCTGCAGGCACCTGGCTCAAAACCCACACTTTGTACCCTGTCTGATGCAGCCTCCTGCCCTCTCCAATACTGATGCTTCCTGTGGGAATTCCGGATGCTTTTCCTTTGGCTGAGACTTGGAACTGTGTTTAAAAACATTCTAGGCGTGGCCTTCACATCAGTTTTAAAGAGAAAGCAAATCCCTGGCTTCTGCCTTGCCGCACTCAGGTTTCATGTTAAAAACATCACCACCACCACCACACGCAATCTTGGCAGAGCTGGTGCTGAACTAGCCAAGTGGTAGCCCTCATCCTGTCATGTCAGCATCTCCAGTGCCTTTAACATTGACTGCTTCGAACATGTAATCCAGTCATGAAGCAGAGGGCTTGCTATTTTCAGTCCTTGGGTGGACTGTATTTCTTAAGCACCACTTGAAGGTAGCTATCGACACCTGGGCAACAATTAGGTTTGCTTCATCACATAGATCTTCATTCTGCTCTTGTATGGATGCATGCAGCTCTCAATGACTTCAGTAGTGCACAGATCCAAGGGCAGAAACTGTGTCTGCTATTGGAGAATTTCCCTTAGTACAATCTGCCTGTGCTACTGGACCTGAGGCTGTCATCTTTAAAGATATGTTGCCTCCCCATTCTTCATGGCACATGCTTAGCCAGAAGGGCAAGAAGTATAGTCTATATACCGTATGCCCTTCCAGAGGGGCCTGTTTAGGGTTTAAATTGGACATAAAGCAGCAAGGAGAAATAGGACCCTTTTTCCGGTCTTGAAGCACCCTTGTGGACTCTTAGGGGGGAAATATAAAGGGAAATGGACACCATCATGCAGGCCCCAAAGAACATCATGAAAACCTTGAGTCTTGATTCAAAATTTGCTAGCACGGCTACCTGTAAAATGTGTGGGGAAAAAAAACCTTTCAGCCAAAAATGATCAATATACATCTTATTTTCAAACTGTTTCAGCTTTTTGTGTATAAACCAACAAAATATTTTCCCTGAAATGAGTTATGAATAACTGGTGGCTCTAAACAAAAAATTCTTTAAAGGCTTGAGTTGGTGCTCTCAAAATCCTCTGCTGTAAAAGCGGGCTCCAAGCCGGCCTGCAAAAGCCTGTGACTCTCCTTGGATCACTAGGATATAGCATAAAAGATTGAATGTCTTTTAAAATATGCTCCTTTGTTGTTGTGAAGGTGCCCTTGGATTTAATTTTATCCCTGTGTTCCCAAATATGTATAACTTGGCTGGTGTAAACTTTTGATGCAAACTGAAACTTGGAGCATAAGGTCTCAGAAATGAAGGAGTCTTTTTACCCAAATTTGAAATCAAATAATAAATTGAGTACAGCGGGTGGCTTATCCATTTTTGTTCTAAATGATATGATTGGGATTTTTTTTAAAAGTAAACATAATTTACAATACAAATTGGCCCTTGCTTTTGTATATATCTTGTAGTGAGGGTGGGGCACTTTATTAGATACCTCATCAGAGTAACATACAAATATTGATATAAAAAACAAACCCAGGACATTTACTGTTTGCACATGCTGTTTGCACAGCATGTTGATCTATCATTTCCAGAGTTTTTTCCTGGAGCCTGAGGTGTGAGTTTCTGCCAGATGTAGTTAAATTGCTGTATTGGATATTGAAGAAAGATACAATCTCAATACCAGGGGAAAAGGAGTTTACTCTCTTTAGTCTTGAAGTGGTCTATGCTATCAGAGTGGTTTATGAAAGGAAGCCAGATGTTGTGATTTACTTTCTTCTGTGGGCCCTTTGAGTGGAGGAGGGTTAGTCTGTCTTCCAGTAAGCTGAATAATGTCCCTGGCTACAAGCAGCTGGGAGTAACTGAATCTAACCTTTTTTGTGGGGTTTGGGGGAATAGACATGCACATAAACTTTGTAAACAGAGAGGAGGGAGAATAGGTAGGTCAAATTTTAGGCCTAAGAACCTTCAAATATCTCTTTAATCACTTGAGTGCTGCCCAATATACCAGGTACGCGGCTTGCCGCCCCGGGCACGTACTTGATGCGCTGGTGCCTGGAGCCGCCCCTGCTCATTTCAGAGCCCCTCTCCATGTGGGTGTGATTTCCTATTGAGATTTGTAATGTTTTTGTTTTGATGTCTGTGGGGTTGGGGATACTCAGTTTTAGTCCGTTTGAACAAAATTCATTGTCCCCACATTCACGTTTTTAAGGTAGGGGGGAGGGAAGTGCCACTATTTCAAGTCAGGAGGGTTGTTAAACTAAGTTACAGGCAAAGCATCAGCCTTCGCCTTGAACCTCCCCACAGCAAGCCCGCTTGCTGGCATCCTTGTGAAATGTCTATAGAAATGTATTGTGTGTAATTAAAGCCTTGCACTTAGTCAAGCATGGATTTAAAGACCCAGTTTTCATATGAAACTTTGGCAGAGAAATGAAGGGGCTGTATTTGGGGTTAGAGTCAAGGGAGCTGTAGCAGATGGAGCAATAACCAAGCACCAACTTCAGGTGATTTTTGCCATCTAGTGGCTGAAACCTTTTTCTGTTAACCAGGCTACAGATGTCCTAGAGATTTCATTCCTTACAGTATTCTTAAGACTTTTAAAATATTCAGCACACTGTTGAAAGAAGTAAGTGTTTTCTGAAATATTTTGAAATGAGCACATTAAAAACATGAGCATTGCTTTTCCTGGGTACTTGCTCAGGAAGCAATCACCATATGTGTTTCTTTCCTAGATGAGCTTATACCTTGTCTGGAAATATGAAGATGCGGGATATGGAGTAGGGAAGACTTTCACTATAATTAATAATAATACCTGGCTCTTATATAGTGCTTGTCATCAAAGTGCTTTACAAAGAAATGAAGTGACTTGCCCACAGTCACCCAGCAGACCAATGGCTGAACCAGGAATAGAACCCAGGGCTCCTGAGTCCCACTCCAGTATTTTATACACTAGGCAACACTGCTTCCCCTTGTAGCTTTCTTGACTGGATAGACATTGCAGGGATTGATCACTTGAAAACTGACCCTGGTTTACTTCCATCAGGACCTGTTCTCTTTGCTGCCCCACCCCCTCAAGGGTGGCCCTTGTTTGGTGCCTAATTTCCCATGGACCAAATGCAGCTGCTGAGAAGAATTGGATCAGATTATAAATCTGTTTTCAATGCAAAGTATCCATTGATCAGAAGTAGGATTTTGTACTGGGATGTGGGATGGCGATCCTAAAACCAAGCTCTGTCCCTTATTTTTCATACAGATGTCCTTTGTTTCCTTGAAGGTCAGGTGGCTGCCCTGCAGCCCTTCTACTCTCGTCCTTTTGCCTTATCTGCCGTTAAGCAGAGAGAGAGAGAATGCTTTATAGACCTAGTCTGCACTAGAAAATGTCATACCTGTTCTCCAGCAAAAGTGCAGCTGCACCTGCGCTAGCAACAATGTGCTGTTGATGGGATTCAGGGTGCTTTCACCACTGTGTCATGAAAGCCTGGCTTCATGACAGAGTGATAAAATTGCCTGCATCCTGTCAGTGCTGGTGTTTGCACCCTTGCTAGCACCAGTGCACGCTGTTGTGAAACAG